TTCCCCTCCCTTCCCTCCCCCCCCCCTCTCCCCCCCTCCTCGAATACAACCTACGGTCATTCTAGCTCTATATGAGGCATCTTTCAGTCTAGATACAGCTATAATGACCGTACCGTTGTATTCGGGGGAAGAAGGTAGGTACCTTTCCCAGTACCACTATTTTCCTCATCCGCATCTAGTCGAGTTCGAACTCAGGTCTGTATTTCAACAGTGTAGGGGTGTACCCCTACACTGTTGAAATGCAGACCTAAGTTCGAACTTCACCTGATGCGAATCTAGTGGACTTCGAACTCAGGTTCACATGCACACACACAAACACACCAACTGGCCTAAAACTCAGCAGTGTTGAAATGCAGACCTGAGGTTTAGGCCAGTCGGTGTGTGTGGGTGTGGGTGTGTGACAATACAGCCATCATGACCGGGCGTTCTATCACGTTAAAGAAGGCGGGAAGAGAGGGAGAGCATGATGAAGCAGAGAGGAAGGAGCGCTAGACAATGGTAGTACTTGTTGAAGCTACTCCAAAAAGACAAAAAGACAATACCATCAACCATCAGCAGTGGGCAACCCAAACCAGAGACAGCTAGCACATGGACAAAAGAGAGGAGAGAGGAGAGAGGAGAGATCAGAGAGAAGAAGAGAGAGAGAAGAGGAGGAAAGGGAACGCAATATGAAAATCCCGGATGCGCGGATGCGACATTGGGCCTCGCTCAGGCTCGCTGCACTACTCTTGAATCTTGAGAAATCAAGAATTCGTCACCGCTGCACTAATTCTTGACGCCGCGTGCTGTTTCTCCATTCAAGAGCTGTCAGATTCATTCTCGAAAACGTGGAGAGTGAGGGCCTCGCTGCACTACTCTAGACTCTCGAAGTTTTGAGAGTGGGCCTACACTGCACTTACTCTCGATTAAGAAACTCTCCAAACCCGATCGAGAGCTGTCAGAAGCCACACTATAACGCCACTAGCCACACTATAACGCCACTCACGAAACCTCAAGAGTCACCCGCCTGCAAAAACCGAATTTGCAAGTGTCCTCGGGCAACAGGCTACGAAACACCCGCGGACGTCGAACTCGGAGGGCGGCCGTACGTCAGAAGCCACACTATAACGCCACTCGCGAAACGTCGAGAGTCACCCGCCTGCAAAAACCGAATTTGCAAGTGTCCTCGCGCAACAGGCTATGAAACACCCGCGGACGTCGAGCTCGGAGGGCGGCCGTATATACGGCCGCGTCCGCTCCGCGGATGTGAATTTGCTGCATTTTTCCTGAATTAAATAATGGGTAAAATATCTATATCTATATCTATATATATATATATATATATATATATATATATATATATATCGTCAAATAGAACTGCCCGGTAAACCGTAGGCAGAGAGGGAGAAGAGGACAACAAACGAGGGGCTGTGACAAACTGTTTCGTCGGAGTTTCACCGACTCATCAGGAGGCTGAATATATATATATATATATATATATATATGAGGTTACCAGCCCGTACGTACGGAGGCCTTCGGGCAGACCTCCGTACGTTCGGGCGTTCGGGGTCCTGTACGGGGTCTGAACCCAATGACATTCGGCCCCCGCCAAAACTTATTTCGGGGCCTAAATTTTTTTTTTTTTTTCTGAATTTCTTTTTATGAGCTCTCTATGACGTGATGTACATGCCTATAAATTTTCAAGTCATTTGGCCTAGCCAAATAAGAATTACAAATCGCCAAAGACGGCGGTGTCAAAACGTGCTCGCCCACGTTTTTCTTTCACTTTTTACTTTTTGTTTCCACTTTAGTTCGGGGTCTAAACAATTTTATTATTTTTTGAAACGTTTTTAGTGGGTTTTGTATTATGTGAAGTACACGTCTGTAAATTTTTAGGGCATTTAGCTATGCCAAAACAAAATGAAAAATCGCCAAAGATGGCGTTGTCGAAAACATGCTCACGCACTCACTAAATTTAATTCTTTTTTTATTTTTATTTATTTTTGTTTATTTTTATTTATTTTTATTTATTTTTATTATTAGTATTTGTTTTGTGTATTTTATTTTTATTTCAAATTTGGTAAGGAATTCGGACGTAATGCTCAGGCAAATTTTCTTTAATTTATTTTTATCCATAACATATCTTTTTTTGAGACTTTTTTGATGAACTTTTTTTTTTTTTTTTTTTTTTTTTTTGGGTCGGCGTTCGGCCCGAACGAACGCATCCCCAAGGGGTCCCATACGTTCGGGCGTTCGGGTTTGGCTGTTCGGCCCGTACCAAATGCCGGTTACCCTTTATATATATATATATTCTATTTGTGATGATATATATATAAAAAAAAGAAAAGGTGGAGAAGAGAAATTGAAAAATAAATTTAATAAAAAGTTTTTTTTTTTAAGGGGGGGGGGTTTTTTGGTTGGCAGTTCTTTGTATTCTTCATTTTTACGTTTTTTTTTTTTTTTTTTTTTTTTGTCCCAAGGAAGGAATCAAGGAATGGAAAAAATATATATATCTCTTTTTTTCTGGGCCCTTTTAATATTTGTGTTTGAACGTGTGTGTGTGTGTGTGTGTGTGTGTGTTTGAATTTTACGTAGGGCATGTGTCGATACGTTAGACCAGTATCATGCATTACTCCGACGGAAGACCATCGGCGCGCCT